AGTAGGTACTGAGGTAAATGTCTTTGTGCTTAGTAATATGCATACCTCTCCTCCTTTAACTTTAGTAAGCTTCATTTGTGGGAGGTGGGGTTAGTGGGTGCTAATCTGTTCTATGTTTGTGATCGGTTTGTATTGTCAGATGGTGAAGAATCCGTCTGCAATGTAGGAGACCTAGGTTTGATCCCTGGGTTGGGAAGATCCCCTGGAGAAGGCTGCAACTACCCACTTCAGTATTCTTGCCTAGAGAATTCCATGGAAGGAGGAGCCTGGCAGGCTACAGTCCTTGGGGTCGCAAAGAGTTGGGTACGACTGAGTGACTTTCACTTTCCCTTTGTATTGCTATATAGTTGTCTTCAGTGCTCCAAATGCTTCAGGTTTCTTAGACAGATGGCTTGTTACTTCAAAGGCCTGGGGTGTCAGATGGGCTTGCTCCAGTGCTCCCGCCTCACATGCAGCTTTCAGCGGACTGCTTGCCTGTACCATGCAGTGTCTGTCTTTGTGCCCTTGCGCTCTCCCTAATATGTCATCTACTGTTGCTTGTCCCTCAGTGCCTGACTTGTGGGGACTGTAGTGTTTTCTTAACCTCAAGCCTTGGTATTAAGCAGACCCTGGGCACCTGAGTCTCAGGGATGGGTTTCCCATCAGTGGTCTGACCTCTCCCTCTTGGCAGCCGTTTTGCTTTGCACAGATGGGATGTTTTGGCAGGAGCAAGTTTTCCTGCTTTTTATCAGTGTAATATCCTTGGACCAAGGCTTTTTTGGACCCTTGTATAGCTGCAGACAGTTTTATCCTCAGATGGCCTTTATTTAGTATCAGGTAGGGTCTGGGAAGGATTTTATGTCTGTTTGCAGCTAAGATGAGGCTTTGTCATCTTTCTTGCCCTGCTCCCAGTTGTTCCTGTGAATCCTAATAGAAACCTGAGGAATAGACCTAGTGAGTAGGTTTGGATTCCTCTTGTGTTCGGGGTTTTCAGGGATTCTAAACTGTTATACTAACTCACACTTGGTTTTTAAAAATTGATCAGATTTTCAGGTTTTCTTTATACCTGCTTTTATGACTTCCCATTTTTCCTCTTATGCTCTTCCAAAAGTGAAAGATGTATTTCATCTTTCTTTGGAGGGCTTAGAATTCAGCTTACTTGGTTTCCTGAACACCTCAGTCTGCTGATGGCCTTAACAAAAGCTATGATTTTGCAGATTGCCTGCTTTTTAAAAATTTATTGTCAGGTTAGACAACTTTTACGTTGTAAGTAAAAGTGGAACTTTTCCATAAACCAGCTTTTTAAAGATAACCTTAAAGATGCTGAACACTTTCAGGAAAATGAGTACAAACCTAAGGGATCGTTGGGGAGGGGACTTTTCTAATGTGTTATTAAGTTAGCACCTGTAGCTTGAGATAACGTCTGCAGTAATAGCCTCCTGCGTGAACTGAAGCATGCTGTAACTCAGAGACGCCAGTGAGAGTAATGGCAGTGCACTGATGCACTCGGTGACGCAAGCGTTGGCTCCAGTGATGATGACACTGAGGTACAGAAGATGCTCGTAATGAGTTTGGAGACCCAGAAAAGCAATGTTTTAAATTTAACATTATTTTACATATCTGATTTCTAATATGAATAATAAGTGAATTATGTAAGTTTGTTATATATATTAAAATTTTTATCCCTAAAAAATAATTCCCTCCACCTCAAGAATTTTATCTCCCTTTGTATGTATCTTATTCATGTAGCATGTACTACGGTACACTTAAAGTCTGTAAATTTTAAATGATGATTGGAGCATGTATGTGGGCAGTTTCAGAAGTCTTTAGGGCATTTGTTTTAGAGTCAGAGACTTTCTTTGGTTATTTCCTTATGTTTAATTAAAGTCTAAAACTGTGTTCTGAATGAGTTTACTTTGTTAGCTGTCTGAGTTGACGCTGCTGCTGCTGTTGCTGTTTGGTTGCTGACTCTTTGCGGCCCCATGAACTGCAGCACACCAGGCTTTCCTGTCCTTCACTGTCTCCCAGAGTCTGCGTCATGACCACTGAGTCGGTGATGGCATCCGACCGTCTCATCCTCTGTGGTCCCCTTTTCCTCTTGCCCCAGTCTTTCCCAGCATCAGGGTCTTTTCCAGCGAGTTGAAGCTATTCGCTTAATTTCTGATGGCCTCAGTTGAATGCAACTGGTGAAATGAATAATAATACAAAATTCAAAATTATATACCTCATGAGGGGTTGTGTGTTTTGAATGATATCTTTATATATTAAGAACCAAGCACAAAAATACTTTATACTATATATATATATATACACGCACACACTATATACTATAAAGTGTTTGTGCTTTATAAAGTGTATAAACTATATAAAGTATATACACTTTATATAAAGTATAAAGTGTATATACTTTATAGTATAAAGACCTTTATAAAGGTCTTTTAATATATAATAAGTGACACTGTACATTATTAAGTAAAGAAAGAAATATTGTCTAGAGTAATCAACAGGGAGTAAAATGGGTGAAAACAGTATTTCTTCTTTTGATCTAAGAAGTTTCATAGTCCCTTAAATTCTCTTAATTCTTAAAAAGTTAGAGTAAAATTAAAAAGGAAGTTACTTCCATTTAGGAGGTAGCATCATGTTATCTAGAGTCTTGTCAACATATACTTTATCTACACAGATAATCCAATATATGAATTGGAGAAATATGCTCTAAGAATGGAAAAGCTATGTTTATGTGTCATAAATGATGTACCTGCAGTAAAAGAACAAATTGTTTAACCTTTAAAAAACACTTTTTAAAAAGATGATTGTGGCATTTTGTTTTCATTGCTTCATTCCTCAGCAGTATTTGTGCTATGAATTTAATAGGTTACCTTTTCTTGTGTGATGAAGTACAAGACGTATCATTATTATACATCTTTTTCTTATATGAACCTCTACCCATTAGTTAGTTCATTATAAAAAGTCAGTAGTTTTAATCCATATTGAATTTTTACTTAGGCAAATTTCCTCCTGACATGGCTAGGTCATTTAAACCTATGAATGAATTAGAAATCAGTTTCACATCTGTCCTGAGATTTTTACCTGTTCTGCCAAACTCCAGGTCGTATGGTTCTAAGAGTCCCACTGCAGGCTCCCCACTGTCTTAATGTTACAGTAAGAGGAAAGAACAAAACGCACAAGAAAGAAAACACCAAGAACATTACTGTTGGAAAAAAATTGTGGTAAAATATACATAGCATAAAGTTGACTGTTTAGCCATGTCTAAGCATACATGTCAGTGACATTAAGTACATTCACATTGTTGTGTAACCATCGTTATCATGCATTTCCAGATCTTTGTCATCTTTCCATACTGAAACTCTGTACCCATCAAACACTACTGCCTCATTTTTCCCTCCCCCTCAGCCTCTCTGATTTCTGTTCCCATGAACTCGACTAAAGAACTTTACAGTTTTAAGGAAATGTAAGTTATTCAAACTCAGATTGGTCTTAAAGCAGTTAGAAAGTAGGATAGCTCTTAATTTTCTTTGCTGAACTGCTTCCAGTCTAGAGAAATTGCCGATTTCAAGGACTGAAATGGCAGGGAAGATGAAGTCACAGTTTGGGGAGAGAACCACAGATTTCGTGGTGTGTGAAACACACAGGGAATCTTGCTCATCACTTTTGGAGTGCAAGTCTCCGTTTCAGTGTAGTGGCTTTAAGAGGATGTGATTGTGATGAAGGATTTTGATTGGGTAACACACAGCAGATCCAAAATTTTGGTGGAATATATTTCAATCCTAGAACTCTCCTAAATGTTGTGTCGTTTGGCAAGACTCTGGGTAACAAGAGTTTTTACCTGGCTTTATGAAAGTATCTTCTCTTCTCTTTCCTAAGGTGCAGAAATCAGTGTTTAGGTCCTCCATCAGTGATGCACATGTTTAGTTTTTCAGAATAATAAGTCTGGAAGAGAAGCATTTAAAACAATTGTTCAGAATTAATTAGAGAGCATTGGGCCTATAACTCTGCTTTTCAGTAGATATGGCATTGAAAAAACTGTTGTTTGTATTTCATGGTGTGTATTCCTTGCAGTGCAATTTTTTGCTTGAAAAAAAAAATACAATAAAGACAAAAAATGAGGCAAAAGTAGGACAGAAAGAAAGGTTAAATTTTCTGCTTGAGGTTTTGCGGAAAACACAGATAATGCATTTTGAAAGTACAGTCCCCATATGTGAGCTAACTTGTAGTTACAGATTCTCAGAGAATCTTACTCTTACTCCACCTATCCCCAAGCAAAATTTTCTGCTCTCTTCCTTTGTAGATACATTTATTTTTATTCCCTTTATTTATTACTTCCCAGAGTTTCTACAGTCATTTTGGTTTTGGCCTCCTGTCTTGCTACGTTTATGCTGGCTTAGCATGGTGAATTAAAAAATATGTTTTATAGCTGGAAATTGGTGCTTTTTGCCCACCTTTGTAAGATAAATGAGAGCTAGGGATATAATGTCCAACACAGTTAAGGCTCAGTCTTGCTCTGTGTTACATGTGAGAGTTATTAGGAATAAATCCTAAATTCTCACCACAAGGGAAAAACGCATTTTTATTTCGTATCTACACGAGATGATAGATGGTCACTAAGCTTATTGTGGTAATCATTTCATGATATGTGTAAGTCACATCATAATGCTGCACACCTCACAGTTATACAGTGCTGTATGTCACTTATGTCTGAGTAAAACTAGAACAAGGAAAAATATGTTTGGAATATTTTACCATCATTTTGGTTGTTGCAGTTAGGACTGTTGTTTGAGATATCTAGCCTGCCATGGAATGGAAGTCTTCATATATTAAAAAAAGAATCTTAACAGTATATTAGCCTAGATCCCTCTGGATCACCCTTCTCCCCCATTTTGTATTTCAGTTTTTAAAGCTTATTTATTAAGTTCTTAAAAAGCTTACAAAAAGTTTAAAAACTTTAAAAGTGACTTTTTGTGTTGATTATTATATTTGTAAAAATATATATGTTTATTTTATAGCTACTTGAAGGAAATTTTGCCAAAGAAGTCAGCCATGAAATGGATGGACTTATTTTCCAGCCCACTGGAGTAAGTATATTTGTCTCTGTGTGTGTGTATGTGTATGTGTATACATGTACATGTATCTATGTATATCCATGTACACACATGCATGTATATATAAAGTACAGTTTTCTTAGATATGTCTACTTAGGATTGATTAGTGCTATAATCAGCTTTTCCTTAAAACAAATGGTTCATTATAAAATAAAGTATTTCCTTTATATTAAATATATATTATAGCAAAATGAATAGTTGTTTGCTTTTGACTTATCTTAGGAAATAAATACAACTGATCATTTTATTTTTCAAGGAAGTTATTAGTCTTTTATTATAATTAGTTTTCTTACTACTCTTGCAAGATGAACGTTAACTTATGTTTCTTTACTAGAAATCTACCAATAACCTTATGTAAATAAATGGTTATTTCTTTCTGTAGTGCCGTATATCTTGTAGGTATTAATTATTTTTAAAACTTCATTTTGTCATGGATGAGTAAAATTCAGAGTTATCAATATTTGAAGAAAATCACAGTTCTTTGCATGTTGATTCCATGTCAGATTACTGAAACTCCCTGAAAACCTTTCACCAGCACAATGGTCAGATCATATATTTGGAGTAAATTCTCTTTTACTCTGTGGTAAGATCTCTCACCCTCGACACTATTGACATTTTTGGCCCCATAGTTCTTTGCTGTGTGGGGCTGTCCTGTATGTGGAAGGGTGTTTTGTAGCGTCTTTGGTCTGTACATATCAGATACCAGTGTTACCTCTCCCTCTCACCCCTCCAGGTTGCAACACCCAAAAATATATATCTTCACTGCCTCCTGTCCCCTGAAGATACACACACTCACTGCCTTCTGTCCCCCGAAGATACACACACTCACTGCCTCCTGTCCCCTGAAGATATACACACTCACTGCCTCCTGTCCCCCAAAGATACACACACATTCACTGCCTCCCGTCCCATGAAGATACACATGCTCAACTGCCTCCCGTCCCCCAAAGACACACACACTCACTGCCTCCTGTCCCCCAAAGATACACACACTCACTGCCTCCTGTCCCCCGGAGATACACACACTCACTGCCTCCCGTCCCATGAAGACAACACACACTCACTGCCTCCCGTCCCCCGAAGATACACACACTCACTGCCTCCTGTCCCCCGGAGATACACACACTCACTGCCTCCCGTCCCATGAAGACAACACACACTCACTGCCTCCCGTCCCCCAAAGATAGACACACACACTGCCTCCTGTCCCCCGAAGATACACATATATTCACTGCCTCCCGTCCCCCAAAGATACACACACTCACGGCCTCCTCCTCCTGAGGACACACACTCACGGCCTCCTTCTCCTGAGGACACACAGTCACGGCCTCCTCCCCGAGAGGCAGACTTGCCTTCCCTTGAGAACGTGTGCTCCGTGGGTAGTGCTTCTCAGTACTGTGACCTGTGGACAAGGCAGCATTAACACCACCAGGGAGTTGTTATGCATGGCACTTACCCCAGACCTCCTGGTGAGAAACACTGGGAAGTGGAGTCCGCCAGTTTGTGCTTTGGCACGCTCTCCAAGTGACTGGTGTGTGTTCAAGTGTGAGACCCACTGCTCTTCTAGGAAAGTGTTGCCTTTTATGTGCTCCTCCTCGTCATGAGCTGCATTTCTTCACTCTCTCCTTAGAAGTAAGGGTGTGGACTAATTGTGGAGTTTATGTAGAAAGACATCAAACTCGGTACCTGGGGTAAAGGGAAGGGGACTAATGTTTTCAAACATTATGTATTAAGTACTATAGTGTGTATGCTTTACTATTTAGTAAAACTGCACATTTAGTGGTATGTGATTGGCTTCTGTCTTCATCCCGTTTGTGAAGCAGGTGGAGGGAAAAATCTTATGTCGTCAAAGGAGGAGATGGAGGAGAATTAGAGGCTAGGGACAGAAATAGTAGACACTTTTAGGAAAATAGAGTTTAGATCTTTGAGTTCCATTATTTTCCAAGCCTAATCTCCTTGGACTGAAAGAAGTAAAATCTAAGTATAACAGGAATTAGGATGTCTCATTCTGTTAATAACCTCATGACTCAGACCGATGCGTGATTTTTACCCAGTCTATTGCCAGTACCAGATCTCCCTTTTCACCCCCTCGCAGCCTTCTCAGTACATATCTATCCCATATGTTATGTAGCCCATTCTGGGGGACCCGACAGGAATTGCTCTGCCTTCCTGTCCTTCCCCGCAGGCACGTCACATTCATTCTTTATTAATTTCACCTACTTTCTAGTTTTCAAAAAGGTTGTTTTCTGCTCTCCTGTTTTTCCTTTTCTACTGATATCTCTTTTCCTGTAAATCCCATTTTAGCAAAGTTTCAAATCAAAGTGGATATAAATGCACGTGTTTAATCCACCACATTTATCAGAAAGTCCTCCAAGCTTCTCACAATGTGCTATTGCATCTGTTGGCTTCCTTGAGCCAACAATTCAAGTAAATGAAGAAAGGTACTATTTTGAATGACCAACTTAGCAATTTGAGGGAGGCTACATTGAGCAGAGAGAAGGTGCTGGTCAGGGATGGACAAAGCTTGACTTTTATTAATAATGTTCAGTCTGTTCTCTAATGCTACAGAAATATTTCAGAGGCAAATGAAGGGTGAAAACTTGTGTGAAAACTCCTGGCCTTCATTTGTTTGGTGCTATTTAGTTACTTGAAACTGGGGCCTCCCTGGTGGCTCAGATGGTAAAGGATTTGCCCGCAGTGCGGGAGACCTGGGTTTGATCCCTGGGTTGGGAAGATCCCCTGGAGGAGGGCACGGCAACCCACTCCAGCATTCTTGCCTGGAGAATCCCCAGGGACAGAGGGGCCTTGCGGGCTGCAGTCCACGGGGTCATAAAGAGTGGGACACGACTGAGTGACTAAGCACACATGCACACTTACAGCTTAGCACGGAGTTAATTCTGCTTCGTTACAGTAATTATAGTGAGGGGACCGCAGTCGAATAAAAAATAGAAGGTATTACTATTGCTAAAAAAAATCCTGGCAAAATATTGAAGAAGACTGACAGAGGTACCTATATTAAAGTGATGATTCTGTAGAGGGTGAAACCCCAAGCACCAGCTTAGAAGAAAGTTCATTCATGTTTTGATTTAATGTTCTGTTTTTCAGAGACATAACCTTATAATACATCCAGTATTGCACTTAGTTTATAACTTTTATTAGAAAGAAGACAAATAAACCTAATTGATGGTATATTGAGGAAAATAAAGCTTAGGATATTTCTTTTTTTTTTAATTAATTTTTTTAGTGAGGGATAATTGCTTTACAGAATTTTATTGTTTTCTGTCAAACCTCAACATGAATCAGCCATAGTTACACATATATCCTCTCCCTTTTGAACCTTTCCCATCTCCCTCCCATTCCTACCCCTGTAGGTTGATACAGAGCCCCTATTTGAGTTTCCTGACCCACACAGCAAATTCCTGTTGGCTATCTGTTTTACATATGGTAATGTAAGTTTCCCTGTTACTCTTTCCATACATCTCACCCTCTCCTCCCTTCTCCCCATGTCTATAAGTCTTTTCTCTATGTTTGTTTCTCCATTGTTACCCTGTAAATAAATTCTTCAGTACCGTTTTTCTAGATTCCATATATGTGCATTAGAATACAATACTTATCTTTTGCTTTCTGACTTACTTCACTCTGTATAACAGGTTCTATGTTCATCTACCTCATCAGAACTGACTCAAAAGTGTTCCTTTTTATGGCTGAATAATATTCCATTGTGTATATGTACCACAACTTATTTATCCATTCATCTGTCAATGGACATCTATGTGGCTTCCATGTTCTAGCTATTGTAAATAGTGCTGCAATGAACAGTGGCTTCAGATTACATTACAAAGCTACAGTCATCAAGACAGTATGGTGTTGGCATAAAAGCAGAAATATAGACCAATGGAACAAGATAGAAAGCCATGCACCTATGGGTACCTTATTTTTGACAAAGGAGGCAAGAATATACAATGGGGCAAAGATAGCCTCTTCAATAAATGGTGCTGAGAAAACTGGACAGCTCCATGTAAAAGAATGAAATTAGAGCACTTTCTAACACCATACAAGAAGATAAACTCAAAATGGATTAAAGACCTAAATGTAAGATCAGAAACCATAAAACCGTCAGAGGAAAACATAGGCAGGACACTCAAAGCAAGATCGTCAATGACCCACCTCCTAGAGTAACGAAAATAAAAACAAAAGTAAACAAATGGGACCTGATTAAACTTAAAAGCTTTTGCACAGCAAAGGAAACTATAAGCAAGGGAAAAGACAGCCCTCAGGATGGGAGAAAGTAATAGCAAATGAAACAAGTGACAAAGGATTAATTTCCAGAATATTTCAAGCAGCTCAAGCAACTCAATACTAGGATATTTCTTTGTATTTATAAAGAAGTGTATCGGTATCTGGTATTCACTAAAACACAGCAGTCATTAATTATCAGGAAAGTCTCAATTTTTAAAATAAGTAGGTTAAATTGTATTTATAGAATTATAGAAAGTCGAAGCTGAAAAGGTACTTCTAAAAGGATTATCACTTCTAAGCCCACTGGTTTCAAAACATGAAGTTCTAAAGTTCTGGGTTTCTGTGGGGGACCATGTACAAGAATAGGTTACTACGTAAGCATTCTGTTTACATGTTTTGTTTATATGCATTCTGTTTATATCATGACAGCCCTGATTTATTTCTTTTCTATATTGTACTTCTGGATGATTGTGTTTTAGAAAGGGCTTCATCTATGTAAATACCATTTGAATCAGCTACTTTTTTGAAAGGTCAACAGTGATCTTTCTTCCTTACAAAATCAAGTTCATCTTCAGCCTTTTTCTTGCTGGATTATCTAGTGGTAGTCTGTACCTTCCTTACAATACTCTGACGTGGCTTCTGAAGCATCACACACCCCTGATTCCTTTCAGTCTCATGCAGTTTCTTCTCCATCTCACTCAAGGTCTCCATCTTCTACTAGTTATCAGAGTTTG